CTGTCGCGTCACAGCTCACAGCAACCTCAACCTCTTGGGCTTAAGCGATTCTCTTGCCTCAGCCTCCCAAGCAGCTAGGACTACAGGTGCCCGCCACAACACCCAGCTATTTTTCGGTTGTAGTTGTTGTTTGGCAGGCCCAAACCTGCCTGGATTCGAACCTGCCAGCTTCAGTGTATGTGGCTGGTGCCTAACCACTGAGCTACAGGCACTGAGCTTATACTAAAGTCTTAATGTTTAGAAACTTGCTTTCATTACCCAACATAAGACTAAATAGAGCATTGTTGAGATCATTAGTTCTCACTCAAGGTGTCAGCTCTATGTCTTCACTGGTAAACACATTTCTCAGAAAGCACAGGAAATACTCTGAGGCCATTTCTTGTATTAAGAAGGCAGGAACAGGCAGTGCCTGTGGCTCAGAGGAGTAGGGTGCCGGCAACTGTATTTCAAATATAAGGCAAATTTTTCCATGTTCAGGATGCCTCTAAGATTTTAAAACATTAACTGAACTCCATCCAACGTGCATGTGTACACTGAAAGTACCTAAATGGGCTTATTCATTCATACACATTTGAGCCCCTTGTGTGTCTGCCACTGAGACTACAGGGAAGATTAGGTAATACCCCTGAAGGAACTCACAATCTCATGAAAGAAAAAAAGGAAATTAGAATGTGAATGTCCAACGTGTAAAAACAGAGACACAAGTAATTTAGAGCTCACAGAAGACGGGTAATGATTATCAAGCTTCTATACTGACAAAAGAAAAATGAATTGTTAGGTTATGCCCAGTAACTGCTAAGCAAATGGTCAGTCTTTGGTCTTCTGAAACCAATTTCCAACTTTACCTAACCCTATTAAACTTAAATACGTAAATTTTAAACACATCTTAGAACTGCACAAAATGAAATAGAATTCTAAAAGTGTTGCACTTTTTGCAACCATATCAAATGTTAAGTCAAAACTCTTCATTGATATAAAATTTTAAAAAGTACACTAAGTTCGTCCAAGAAAACCTCAATAGTTTTCTACTAACTCATTCAGATAATTTCTCTTCCTGGTACAGGAGCAGCATAGCTATCAAATATTCCACGTCCCTCGAATTCTCAGACCCTGCATCTGCTACTGAGCTTCCAAGGAACCTGGCCGCGGCAGAAAAGCAAGCAGGTAAACTTACCCAAACCTTGGCGCCGAGGTCTTACCTGGAAGAGCGTCCCCGCGGGGACAGACTGAGAAATCAAGGCCGATTGGAGGGAATGGCACAGTGGCTTTGGACATGGAATTCAGGTTCTCCGTGTGCCCTGTGCTCCAGGGCAAGTCCCCGTCTCACAAGCGCCTCGCCTGGGTCTCCGTAGCACGGGGACACAGGAAGACCCCCGGGGACCTTGGAGGGGAGGGGAGGTAGGCGTCTACACCGCAGCCGGACCCCACAGCCCGGCGTGCCGAGGGGAGGCCCGGCCAGCGGGCCGCCCTCCCGTGGCCCCTGCCCCTGGACACAAAGGGAAGCGGGCCGCTGGGCCTGGCACTCCGTCCCCCGGCGGCGGCTGCACCCCCAGGAGCCACTCCGGACGCCGCCGCGGCTAGTTCAAGTCTTGGCGGGTCGCTGATGGCCCAGACTCCTCGCCTCTGGTTCCCTCGCCCCTTCAACCCAGAGAGCAAACATTAGCGCCTCCTTCTTATCTCCTCCGGTCCGCCTCAGGACTACGGAGCAGTCAAACCCCGCCCCGCCCCGCCCGCCCGGCCGCCCGCCCGGCCGGCCGGCTCACCCCTCCCGCCCAGCTAGCCCTTCCCGGACAGCGCGTGCCCGCGCATGCAAATAAACACACCCCTCTGAACCTCTAGGGGCAGCCACCGCCGCGCGCGCTCCCGCCCTCGTCGTGCCCGCGCGCGTATGGGGAAGTGCCCGCCCGCCCCGCGGCAGGGGGCGGGGCTAAAGCTCAGGGACGCGCCGCGTTCCTATGAGGGAAGGGCTGGGGCGGTGGCGCATTCGACGTGGCGCGGGCGCGCGCGGCCCCGTCCTGCCTCGGAACCGCGCTTCCCAGCCGCCTGCGCGCTCCCGGGAGTTTCAATTTCCGCGAGTTGCGTCAGTTTCAAAGAAAAAGTGGGTGGTTGAGTAGGAGTCCGCAGCAACTGAAGGGCCCAGCGAACGGTGGCTGAGGCTCTGTGAAGCAGCGGGAAGGGCCGGTAGAAGAAGGGGTTGGTTTCTGGGCGGCGCCAAGTCTATGAGGGGGCGCGGTCACGGCCGAGGCTGCCCGGGGACGCCTAGGCGGCCACGTCCCCCTCCCTCTGAGTGTGTAGTGCTTAGGACCTCTAGATATGTCCGAGGTGAAGAGTCGGAAGAAGTCGGGACCCAAGGGAACCCCAGCGGAGCCGGGGAAGCGGAATGAGGGCGGAAAGAGCCCGGAGGTCCGGGGCGGCGGAGGGGGGTGCTGGGCGGACCCCCGAACGGGCCTGAGCCTGCTGTCGCTGGGGACGTGCCTGGGCCTGGCCTGGTAAGTGGACGCGAGGCCTCCCGGCGTGGCCGGCCTGCTGTGCGACCTGCTCCTCAGGTTCCCACCCGGTCGGGCATCCCGCTAACCTCCAACCCCCAGACTTGTGGCTTCTGTTTGTTACTTTGCTACGATCCCAGAGGAAGGACGCAGCCCAACTTTTTGTTATTGGCTCGTTTCTGATCACTCATTCGTTCTCGGTATCAGTAGCATGACCCTATCGCTCAACTGTACTAACACTAAGGGGTTGGTATGGGAGCAAGTCATCCATTTCTTAAGAGCTGCGGAGTCGACCACGCTTTCTGAAACACCTACTACGCGCCGGGAGCTTCCACGTTAAGAAACCGTTGCTTCCTGTCTGCTGTGCAGTTTTTGGAGACAAATTTGCCCCCATCACACTTGCCTAATGAAGCAACTTTAATTAAAAGAGTTCATTATGATCTCAAAGCAGTGTTATATGTAATAATAGCAAAGTTTGGAGGATTTCTTACATTTTGTTGTTTATGCGCTATGAATTTCAGGTCTTTTCCTGAGTTACAGATTGAACTTTAATATTGTCAAGCTACAAAAGTATAGAGCTTGGGTTCACTTAATAGCTAAACAGTTTTTAAACTAAGGAAATAGAAATTTACTTGGTATTATAGGAAACGTGAATATTAGAAATAACTTTAAAACTAACTTAATGGCCGGGGGCCGGTGACTCATGCCTTTGGGAAGCCAAGCTGGGAGGATCACTTGAGGCCAGGATTCAAGACCAGCCTGGGCAACATAGCAAGACCCCATATCTAAGAAAAAGAAAAATTAGTCAGGTATGGTGGCACACTCTACTGGAGAGGCTGAGGCAGGCGGCTCACTTCACCCAAGGAGTTTGAGGTTGCTGTGAGCTGGGCTAAGGCCACAGCACTCTAGCCTGAGCAACACAGTGAGACCTGTCTCAAAAAAAAAAAAAAAAATTTATTTTCCTCATTTTCTTAAGGAATAACCTATGTCATTATTTTAATAACAACACTGTCATTTTAATAGAATTGTTCTCCATTTTCCACCAATTTGTAAAGTACTTAATAAGATAATTTGTCAATGTTCCAGAGTAATGGAATTCTAGAAGAAATCTTGGAAGTCTAGTGCATTTTTGAAACTAGTGCATTTGGAATTATACTTAACTGGTGACTCATCCCAAGTCGTGTGGTTTTCAAACTTAACAAAAGATTTGTTATAATAAAATGAAATATTGATTATTAAATGCTCTTTTCAAACAAGGTAGTTATTTTAATAATATGGGATTGGGATGTTTTAATTTTGATCTGAAGAGAGTAAGTGTACTGAATTTACTGTTGTAAACAAACTGCTCTCATGTCTTAAAATGCATGACCTAATACCTTTTTGTATTGGGGAGTTAGTTACGGTCCTGGGAGAAAGTTCTACTAGGAAAGTAAATTTTAAGGGAATAAACCTTGAAAAGTAGATGCTTCAACTCAGGAATTTACTGTTACTGAATGTCTTTGGAAAATGATAAAATAATACTAAATCAAAAATTATTTTTTAGGCCAGGACTGGTGTCTCATGCCTATAATCCCAGCACTCTGGGAGGCTGAGGCGGGTGCCTTGCTTGTGCTCAAGTTTGAAATCAGCCTGAGCAAGAGTGAGACCCCATCTCTACTAAAAATAGAAAAATTAGCCAGGCATTGTGGTTAAGTGCCTGTAGTGCCAGCTATTTGGAAGGCGGAGGCAAGGGGACTACCTGAGCCCAAGAGTTTGATGTTGCTGTGAGCTATGACACCACAACACTCCACCCAGGGTGATAGAGGGAGACTCTATCTCAAAAAAATACATATTTTTTTAAACAGGTGGATTCTATACTTGTTATTAAAATATTTAACTCTTAATTGGTCTTGTGAAATCTTTTGCTACAGAAAACATATGTCCCTACGTGTATACACTTAAACACTGTTTATCCATCCTCTTACTATTGTTTGATTAAGTTGGGAGAAAAAAATCTGAACTCTTCCACTGCCCAAGGAGGATTTCAAGGCACCTCGCTCTATCAGTATCTTCATACCCTTCATATTTGGATCCTTGTTTGGAAAGAAAACAGAAATAATACATAAAAACTTTGAAGTGTGTTACTTCAGTATCTTCTCTTTGCTACATAAAGTCCTAATATATCATCCTGTGTCAACTTGACAATAAATATCATCTCTAACAGTTGTCCAGAGCTATATGGCATGAATGTGTCATATAAGGTGTTGTGAAAAATGTTCAGATAGGATTGAAGAGATTTTACTTTCAGAAAGTTATAGGGCCACGCACAATGGCTGACGCCTGTAATCCTAACCCTCTAAGACGCTAAGGTGGGTAGATGGCTTGAGCTCAGGGGTTTGAGACCAGCCTGAACAAAAGGGAGACCCCATCTCTAAAACCTAGTTGGGCCTTGTGGTGGTTACCTGTAGTCCCAGATACTTGGGAGGCTGAGGCAAGAGGATCGCTTAAGCCCAACAGTTTGAGATTATTGTGAGCTCTGACGGCGGGGCATTCTACCGAGGGCAACAAAATGAGACTTTTGTCTTCAAAAAAAAAAAAAAAGTAAGTTAAAAAGTTGTGAAGTTACTGAACAAGACGGAAAATTTTTGGCACAAGGTTATTATATAATATTAATCAACTGGAAATTCCATGTAAAAATTTTAAGATCCTTCTAGAAATTCCAACAGATTTTTAAATTGCTTTGGTAAAAGTTTTATATAGCATTTGTGATAATTATGTTCAAGAAGCTCTTGGAAGTCATGACTCCAGTTTTTTTCTGTATTATCCAATATAACTTTCTCTATAGGCTCGGCGCCTATAGCTCAACCGGCTAAGGCGCCAGCCACGTACACCTAAGGTGGTGGGTTCGAATCCCCAGCCCGGACCCGCCAAACAACAATGACGGCTGCAACCAAAAAATGGCCGGGCGTTGTGGCGGGCGCCTGTGGTCCCAGCTACTTGGGAGGCGGAGGCAGGAGACTCGCTTGAGCCCAGGACTTGGAGGTTGCTGTGAGCTGTAATGCCACGGCACTCTACCCAGGGGGACAGCTTGAGACTCTGTCTCAAAAAAAAAAAAAAAATAAATAACTTTCTCTATAAATCATCTATACTATAAAATCTTGGTTAACTCCATTTCTAGCTTTTTTCTGTTAGAATTGTATCTAAAAGACAGGGTTATACTTTAAATGCCCTGCTTTTAAAAAATGGCATATGGTCAATATTTTCCTGAACGTTAGGTATAGTGCTAAAAAAAAAGAGGCTGTAGCCGACTATAAAGTAGGCTAAATGAGAACTGATCTTAATAGTGGCCTTGGAACTTCCTTTTTTGCAGAAGGTCCACACCAACAGCTTCCTTTGGTTATTTGCCTCTTTTCATTATGAAATTGAAATAGAGGAAATCCTGTATTTATAACTCTTCAATCAGCTCTCACCAGTAGCAGACCATATTGCTCAAGGAAAGGAGAAGCTGGAGCTAAGCTTCTGTAATTATAAGAAACACCCTTAACAACTCTGTAATGTAACACCTTAGTCATAGGGCATGGGGAAGGGATTCGGCTGTCCACGGGATCACGGGATCACGTCTGTAAGTACCCGCAGGAGAGGGGAGTGGGGAGCGTGCATGCTGTTCTTTCACGGACTTCGCTCCCTTCTCCTGCTCGCAGGGCGTCTGCCGCCATCGCTCAAAGAAGACTCCTAAGATTTACTCTGTTTCTCTCCCTTCTGCTAAGGCGAATAGGCCTCAGGCACGTAAAGGTAATTGTTCCCAAGCAAGATAGCATAGAGCCAGGGCAAGACCTGGCCAGTCCCGCAGACAGTCACCAACTAAGGATCCCAAAGGAGCTGTGTGGAGGCGACACACACTGATTATGCATTCCTTATCTAATAACTTTCACAAAGTTTTACCTATGTGATACGGTAGAAGAGGTCCCAAAACAGGGTAAGAGAGTCCTTGTCCTTTAGCGACGTGCAATCTGTTCTATCCTCCATTTATTATAAACCCAACCTGGGTTATGGTTAGTGTTCAAAGAGGAAAAGTCGTGGGGTTTCTATCAAGTGCAAATAGAAGAGAACTCTGCTGCTTTGTACAACCAAAGGAGGGATGGACTAGCAGCTGCACATAGTCCAAAATAAAGGCTGAATGTGGCTCAAGCGCCTAAGGCGCCAGCCACATACACCTGACCTGTTAGGGTTCGAATACAGCCCGGGCCGCCAAACAACAATGACGGCTACAACCAAAAAACAGCCGGGAGTTGTGGTGGGCGCCAGTGGTCCCAGCTACTTGGGAGGTGGAGGCAGGAGAATCGCTTGAGCCCAGGAGTTGGAGGTTGCCGTGAGCTGTGATGCCACCGGAACTCTACCCAGGGTGACAGCTTGAGGCTCTGTCGCAAAAAGAAAGGGTGACGGTATTTGGAACCTGCTTAATCTCTTCCAACAACCCTATAAAGTATGAAGCATTATCCTCCCATTACAGGTGAGGAAACAATAGTAACTTATTTAACTTGCCCAAGGTGGTTATACAGCTAGTAAATGACAGAGCCAAGGGAGTCCGACTACCCGCTCAAACAATATGTTGGGTCCCTTTGACAGTAATCCAAAAACAAAAAACCCAAGATCCTCAATACAGAAACCCCTGGTCCTTATAGTCCTTTTCTTCCTTCTACTAGAAGCGGTACCCCTTAGCGCACTCTTTCTTTTGTCTTTTGCCCTCATCTCAGGGGGAAGACTGGAAACGGCTCCTATTAGAATATGCCTCTGACTCCTAAAAAGGAAATAAAGCGCCTTAGGCACTAACACGGATGCTGATTTGAAAACTTGGATCTTCTTCCTTAATGTTAAATCAATTACTATTTATAGAACACTTAGAATATGCCTGGCACATATGAGAGAAAAATACGTTTTAACTCATCAGCACCAGAGTCCACTGCAGTTTTGTTTTTTGTTTTTGAGACAGTCACTATGTCACCCTGGGTAGAGTGCCGTGGCGTCACAGCTCATTGCAACCTCAAACTCTTGGGCTTAAGTGATTCTCTTGCCTCAGCCTCCCAAGTAGCTGGGACTACGGGTGCCCGGCTATTTTTTGTTGCTGTTGTAGTTGTCATTGAGCCCACCAGCCCTGGTGCATGTGGCAGATGCCCTAACCACTGAGCTATGGGCACAGAGCCACCACTTCTTTTTTTTTTTTTTTTTTGTCACAAGCACTGTCACATTTGTGCATATCTTTTTCTTGTGTGCACCATTCTTACATAGGAAGGGTAATTTTTTTTTAATTTCAGTGAAAGGTAAACATTAAAAAAAAATCAGAAATGATCCACTGACCTGACATGGTTTTCTTCAAGCTTTTATGTAATGGTTAGGTAGGCAACATGAAAAATATGTAATAAAATCAAAAGTCACGTAACGTGGTTTCTGTAGTAGATCAACTTTCACACAAAAGTCTCCTTTATAATAATTTCATTGTGAATAAACTTGCTGATCAAAAGTATAAGTTCATGATGTGATGTTATGGAGTAACAGATCTTAAAACTAGTCCCAATAACTCTTTTCAGGCTGATCTCTCTCTCTTTGGTCTCTATCTGCTGGTCAGATACACCTATACTCTGAAGGAAAAAAATAATTCTTTTTTTTTTTTTAGAGACAGAGTCTCACTTTATCCCCCTTGGTAGAATGCTGTGACGTCACAGCTCACAGCAACCTCCAGCTCTTGGGCTTAGGTGATTCTTTGGCCTTAGCCTCCCGAATAGCTGAGACTATAGGTGCCCACCACAATGCCCAGCTATTTTTTTGTTGCATTTTGGCCGGGGCTGGGTTTGAACCCGCCACCCTCGGTATATGGGGCCGGTGCCCTACCCACTGAGCCACAAGCACCACCAGGAAAAAAATAACTCTTAAAAGCCAAAAATGAGACAGCAAATGAAAAAAGAATGATGTTGCTCTAGCTGCCATCTTGCGTCTCCACGTGTGTGCGCTTAAACAGCTGGTTTAAACCCAAGACCCCCAAAGCGCCAACCCTAGTCCCCCGTGCAGCCCCCTTTACGCTCCCACAAGATGAGAGAAACTATCATGAACCAAGAGAAACCACACTGCCGGCACAAGTGCACAGTGGTGGGAAAGGAACTGCTCTCAGAAAGAAGAAGGTGGTTCACAGAACAGCTACAGCAGATGATAAAAAACTTCAGTTCTCCTTAAAGAAGTTAGGGGTAAACAGTATCTCTGGTACTGAAGAGGCGAATATGTTTACAAACCAAGGAACAGTGACCCACTTTAACAACCCTCAAGTTCAGGCCTCTCTGGCAGCAAACACCTTCCCTTTACAGGCCAGGCTGAGACCACTCAGCTGATAGAAATGCTACCCAGCATCTTAAACCAGCTCGGCGCAGACAGTCTGACTAGCCTGGGGAGGCTGGCTGAAGCTCTGCCTGAACAATCTGTGGATGGAAAAGCACCACTTGCTACTGGAGAGGAGGATGGTGATGAAGTTCCAGATCCTGTGGAGACTTTTGATGAGGCTTCCAAGAATGAGGCAGACTGAACTGAGTCAACTTCTGACGAGGAAACTTGAAGAAGTTCCTGGGAGCTGCTATTTTATATTATGACCGCTTTTTAAAATTGTTTTTGTTTATGGATCTAATAACAATCTAGATCTCTAATATTTTTAAGCCGAACAGAAAAAAGAATTATGTTTACTCATCTATCTTTGAAAATTAGGATAATAGTGTTTTCTAATAACCTGAAGTTATAAAGGTATTAACTGGCACACAGGAAAAATGTCTATCTGGGCTAATTATGTAACCTGGAATTACAAGTATCTCATGTGATAGACATTAACCAGCATCATCAAAAGAAATTTCATTTCATCCAGCATTGGAAATATTTAATTACAAAGCAAAAAATCTGTTTTAGCCGTGGACGGTTTTTCAGCAACAGTCACCGTAATAATGCCACTTCTAAGTTCAAAACATCACCATTTTTGCAAGCGTGAAACGAAGCTCAGATGGCCACACTCAGAAAATTCTTTCATCTCTCCTTTAAGCTTTGGGATCTTTAAATATTTGCCTTCCTGTGGACATGGATTTTACAAAACATGGTCAATTAGTGCTTCTCGGCTTGGGTGTATACTCAGATTACTTGGGACACTCTTAAAATTTCCAATATCCAAGCCTCATTCCCACACCAATTAAGTGAGAATCTTTGCAGGTGAGACCCACACATAGCCTTTCTTAAAGCTACCAGATGAGTACAATATGCAGTGAACCTTCTAAATTACTGGGCTGGGTACTGTGATTTAGGCAGGCACTTCTCATGGTTATGCTCCATTGCTTTTTTGATGACTCAATATACAAAGAATTTCAACTCCTGTTTTTTCTGAGCCCGAATTATTGAGTTAAAGTAGATACACACAATGGTATTAGATTTCTTTTGTACTTGGTCATTTCAACTCCTGTACAAACAGATATTGATTTATTGTTTTATAGATCGGGGTGGCTTTTTTTAACGCTTCTGCTTTTTACTTTTTAGTAGATGAAGAATAAACTCCAATTTAGAATAACATCCAGACTTGGCACCCATAGCTCAGTGGTTAGGGCGCCAGCCACATACATTGGGGCTGGCGGGTTCAAACCAGCCAGTGCCTGCTAAACAACAATGACAACTACAACAAAAAAAAGTAGCCAGGCTTTGTGGCAGGCACCTGTAGTCCCAGCTATGTGGGAGGCTGAGGCAAGAGAATCACTTAAACTCAAGAGTTTGAGGTTGCTGTGAGCTGTGATGCCACAGCACTCTACCGAAGGCGACATAATGAGACTCTGTCTCAAAAAAAGAAAAAAATAGAATGACATCTAAATTATAGGTATATGAGCTGTATTGTTGCATATAACCAGTCGTATAGTTTCTACATCTTACATTGCACATGTCCTGTCCTCTCTTTGTCAATGGCTCTCTTTGCTTCATAGCTCTTCTTAAAACCTTGCTGTCATTTTACAACTTTTAGTCTCTGTCATCCCACTCTTCCTCTCACGCCACTGCTTTTTATTAGTCTACTCTTCTCATTTTAGTTTCTAAATATTTTTAAAGATAACCCTTACTGCTTCTATTTCAGCATAAAAACACTTTTCTTATATTGCCCAAATATGGCCTGGAGAAAAATAGAGATCAAAGAGCTCATTCTAAATGTAATTGTCCTCCATGCCTTCCTCCAAAATATTCCTTGTGCATGCACCTATCACTGCCTCCCTCCCTGGGCTTTGAACTGTGGACAGGAGTAACCACTCATCTTTGCATGAGCTAAACTGACACCCAGCGCACTGCAGGCACAGCTGAATGTCTGTTGAAGTAAACCATCAAAAGCTGCAGCTGTCCACGCCTGAATGTCTGTCGTTCTTACCACACGTGGATAGGATACTCTTCTGAAATTCAGGTTTAAAAATTAGGCATCCCTGATATTTTTTTTCTTTTCCAGGTTTGTATTTCAGCAGTCAGAAAAGTTTGCAAAAGTGGAAAACCAATACCAGTTACTGAAAATAAAAACCAACGAGTTCCAAGGCCTTCAAAGTAAAATCACTTTAATTTCAGAAAAGGTAATCCTTAATCGACTTCTCCGGGGAGGTTTTCTCATTTCATTTTCTTACTACCATTCCTCTACCACAGCTGAGAACATCTTTCTTCCTGTCTTTTAAGACCGTTATATTGTAATTCTCATTGTTCTTCCTATCTCTTGATAGTGTCCTCCTGATCCATTTTATACCCAGATTGCATTTTGAAAGATAAGCGAATCTTTACATTATTAGGCCATCTAAAGATTTTTATATACTTATATAACAGTTTCTGTTATCGAAAAAAGCCAACATGTTTACAGTGATATGATATTAATTTCCTACGTAAGTCTTAGATATCTAGAGCACTGAAAATATGGTCGATCTTTAGGAACAAAATTAAGATATAAACAGCACTTATCAGGAAAAATCAATTTTTTCCTTACTTTCCACTTTTTAAGATTATATGTGTATGAGTATAACAATGACTAGTCTAAAAGTAAGTATCGATCGTATGGCCAAATAAGCGTTCTAATGAAAATTAAAATTAACACCATGTCTGTGGTGCTTTTCTTCAAGTTGCTAATGCCGATTTCCACCAGGCACATTATTACTGTGATTCTTAGAAATGTGAGAGAAACATTTTGTAACTCCTTCACCTCTCAGGAGAGGGCCAGCCAGCTGTGATCACTAAGGCATCATGCGGGCCTTGTCTAACTACTAGGGACCAGGGATCACTGGGAAGGAAATACGCCTTATTTATTTATTCATTTATTCATTCACTAAACTCTTACTCATGTCCTAAGGTAGACAAGGATTTGTACTTGGCACCATCATGGGCAGGGATGTTATAAAAACAAGAGGTCTGGCTCGGCGCCTGTGGCTAAAGTGGCTACGGTACCAGCCACATACACCTAACGTGGCGGGTTCGAATCCAGCCCAGGCCCGCCAAATAACAATGATGGCTCTAACCAAAAATAAAAGCCAGGCGTTGTGGCGGGCGCCTGTGGTCCCAGCTACTTGGGAGGCTGAGGCAGGAGACTCGCTTGAGCCCAGGAGTTGGAGGTTGCTATGAGCTGTGATGCCACAGCACTCTACCCAGGGGGAGAGCCTGAGGTTCTGTCTCAAAAAAACAAAACAAAACAAAACAAGAGGTCTAAGTCTCCACAACCTCATGCACAGGATGAACATATGATCCCCCAGAAAAGAAAAGCCATGCATGAAAATTAGCATCCCTGACCCATGTCAAGAGATTCCAGGAAGGGTGCGTTTAGGGGATTCTGGGAAGGAGCTGCACAGGAGTTGGTATTTTGACATAGGACTCAAGTTATACTCTGGTTGCAGTTATTGGGAGCACTCTAACACACTGATAGAAAAAGTTCCAGGAGATAGAAACCTGGTATGTTCAATTAAAAGCTATTGAAAAACAAATTTTGAACAAAATTGATTTCCTTTTTAAATGAAAACTTTTCTTGACAATTAATATGCTTTTGAAGCAAATTTTAAAATATCGTCGAGTTCAGAAACATTCAATCTTTTCGTAGCTTGCCCCCTCCTCTTCTGCCCTGGGAGTAATCAGTGCTACCTTTTACTTTGCTGGCCTTCAAGACCAGCATAATGCAGTCAGGGGGGCAACTAGCTAAATGTAGCTCTCATCACAACTGTGTGACCTCTGCAAAGCACTTTCACTTCTCGTGGCCTCTATTTCAACATTTATTAAATGAGAAATAAGAATCAGATAAGATCTAATACTTAATATCATCAACAAGTACTTAGAAAATTTGAGTTGAGTGGAATGACATACAACAGATCCTTAAATAACATTTTAGTCAATATCCTCTCATTATAACATGGATACAAAAACATTAGTTTTATTATATGTCATTGAGCACAAAGTTGCAGACTCCAAGAAACTATGGACAATGTTAAGTTAGGATTTAGTATATAGACAAGTTCTTTGCAAATGTGCAAGCACTAATAAATTCAGGGATTAGCTCTTTTTTAAGAAAGTAAAAAACTGTTGGAATATATTAGCAGCCCATAAATGCTAGTTATTGCGCTAGACTAGTCACTAAATATTTTGTAGATTAAATGTTGAGGTTTATTATCCTGAAAAGTTGATCTTGTCCTACCTGTGGTGTCCTGCGTTTAGATGACAGGGCTGCTCTGGTGAACAGCCTAAACAGGGAACCACCTTAGGTGAAGATAAGTTTGCCTCTTCAAAATAGTGCTAGTCAGCAGAGTGAGTACAATCAACAATAAGTTAAAGTGGACTTTGACATAACTCAAAGAATGTTCCTAACACCAGAGGGTGATAAACACCTGAGGTCGTGGCCACCTCAACCCTGATTTGGTTAATTCACATTATATCTACCTGTGTCCAAACTTCACATGCATCCTATAAAGATATACAACTATTATGTACCCGTAATAATTAAAAATAAAAGTTCAGAATACTGCTAGTAGAACCTTACCAATGAATTAATTTTTCTCAGAATTAATTTTTAAAAGAGCTTATATGGTCACATGTGTACATTAAAAATAATTTTTAAACAGCATTTCCAAGTGGTATTATATTAGTACCGTTACAACTGTTGCCACCTGTCACCTGGAACCGCTTTAGGTCTTCACTGGGGTAGACCCAGAAGCCTTAGAGTCATTCATCTTCCTCAACATCCACAAACAAATTCTTTGTACTTTGAATTGTGGGAGCTACAAAAAGACAGAAGACATGGTCTCTTCCCTTGTGGAATGTAGAAGCTTTCACACCTTCATCATCTGGCTAATTCATCAGCCTGTTACTGAGTCAGATTTCAGAGTCACTTCTAAGCCTTTCCTCATTGTCCTCCCGACCTTATACCTCTCCTATAAGCACTCACTGCTCCTTACACTAATCCTGTCATAACACGAGTCATAATCTATTGTGATTTTGTTTGTTAGTCTCCCTTACTCCTCATCAGAGCAAACACTGCATCTTTTATCTCTATTCTCCTCACACCTAATAATGGAGCTGGCCCACAGTGGACCCTTAATAGATTTTATAGCACCGTCTCCCCTATTAAACTGTAAAATCAGGAACCATGCTATATTTATATTTTATATCCAGTACAAAATCTAGCACAGTGCAAACACTTAAAAGTTTTAAACTATATGTGCCAAGTGGCAGGTAAGTAGCAAGTACATGATATAACAGGAGTCCAGGGTCAGAGCTAGGGCTATGGAAGAATGCTGCACTGAGGAGCTGCAATCTGGTTGGAAGCTTGAGGTAGGGACAGAACTAAGTGATGAGGAGACAAGAATAGCATAGGGAGAAGTTATAGAATTTGGGACTTTATCCTAGAAGTATTAGGAAACATCACAGATGTTTCAATGGAATATAATGATTGGCACAGCAGTTTTTAAAAGCTTAATCTGGTGTAGAATGATGCAAAGAGCAAGTAATTACAGGGAGGTATTATATAATATTCCTAGAGCACGTTCCTTGACCATGAATCTGGGTTGGGTCTCTACCCAAAGGGCTTCTATCGCTCTTTCCAGTCATGGTGCAGGCAAACTCATATTTCTCCCCAGATAAACTAAGCAGTTTAAGGGCAGAACTGGGTCTTGTTCAGTATATATCTTCACCACAGCACTGCAAACATATGATAAATTAGTGATCATTTCTAGAGCTTCCCGTACTCTGTAAAGCTGTTATCTGTGTTTGAGTGTAGACCAGCAGTTCTCAACCTATGGGTTGCGACTCACAGGAACTGTATTAAAGGGCCACGGCATTAGGAAGGTTGAGAACCACTGGTATAGACTAACAGAGGTCCTGGACATGGCCTTTCCATATTTCAGATACATTTTAGGAGGTACCAGGGCCTACCATAATTTACAGATAATTAGACTACTTTACCATTTGATTTGATTTATCACAATAAACTGAGGAGAGTTTTTGTAATTCATTTTTGCCTTTGTAAGATCTGATTCTAGTACCCTCTCTATAAAGAACTTAGTCAAAACATTTTCTTCAGACAGAAACTCTTTCAGAATCACAGGATTTAAGAAAGATAACAAGGGTACATGTGAAATTTACTAGGTGTAGAACATAAATGTCTTAACACAATAACTAAGAAAATGCCGTGAAGGCTACGTTGACCAGTTTAAGGAAAGCATTTCAGATTGTGTGTAAAACCAGCACATTGTACCCCATGATTACATTAATGTACACAGCTATGATGTAATAAAAAAAGATAACAAACATTATACTAAGTTATAGTTTCCAAAAAGCCAAATAACCATAAAAATGTCATCCAAGTAACTTTCCATTAGAGTAAAAAAGAAAAATTGTCATGTCTATCAGGCTTCTTTAACATCATTTTTCTTTTCAATGTACCTCCACGAAAATACTCAAATATCTAGGCGTACATGTCCAGGTCTATATTTTTCTTGCATAGAGTCACTAGTTGTTTTGTGAAAACAACTAGTAAAGTAAGAAAGGTTTTTGTCAATATGATTCTGATATACTTGGATACTTTAGACATCTTCAGAATTTGCCTTTGGCCTGTGTTATGCTCCTGATTATTAAAATGTGTTTCTCTAATACCAAAATTATTAAGCAGCCTTGGGAATTGTTTTGTGTTATAAATGCAGCTTGAGTCCACTGACAGCCTCCTGCAGGAAGCAACATCAGCCATGTCTTTGACGACCCAGTTTGAGCAGGAAGTATCCAGCCTCCAAAGGACCATCCATGACATTCAGAATAGTGAAGAGACGCTCACTCAAAAGATGCAAAACCTGAGTGAGACCTTACAGAATATTACGGGCGTGTGGAAGAGAAGCCTGGAAGAAATGAACGTTAACACAGACGTTTTCAAATCAGAAGCAAAACACAGACATTCTCAAGTGACTGCCCAGATAAACTTAGCAGAGCAAGAAATAAAATTGCTCACAGAGCGGCTAAAAGACCTGGAAGACAGCACCCTAAGAAACATTAGAACAGTAAAAAGACAAGAAGATGAAGATCTCCTGCGGGTAGAGGAGAAGCTCGGCTCCGATACCAAAGCCGTTGAGAAGTTAGAAGAGGAACAGCACGCCCTCTTTGCCAGAGATGAAGATCTGACGCACAAACTTTCCAACTACGAACCCAAAGTTGAAGAATGCAAGACACATTTGCCAACCATCGAAAGCGCTGTTCGCTCTGTTCTCAAAGTCTCTCAGGATCTGATCACGACGGAAAAGAAAATGGAAGACTTGACCATGCAGATGTTTCACATGGAAGATGACATGCTGAGAGCAGTGTCGGAAATAATGGAGATGCAGAAAGTTCTTGAAGGAATTCAGTATGATAACAGCATATTAAAGATACAAAATGAGCTGGATGTTCTCAAAGGAAAAGTTCATGATTTTGCGGCATATTCAAGTATAAGAGAAAAGGGGACTTTAGAAGAATATGGCCTAGAAAATAAAGGAATTGATGATTTTTAAATTCACTGCATTTATTCTGAGGAACCATATTACTATGTATACGTTGATTTGTTCCATGGTTCTGAGTTACTTTGATATGTCTCACTTTTTCCTATATTATTGGGAAATAAATGAGATAGCCACACAAATGGATTATCCATATAATCGAAGCTTATCTTTTTAAACACTACAACATTATTCCATTTAAACCATTCCTAAATAGAAACAGTTCTAAAATATGTTTCTCTACTTTTTAAAGCAAGATACTTAATAATTTTCCTCTAATTCATGGGCATCATTATGAATTTCACCTGTTCCATTGGACACAACTATATTGAGGTGTGGAGGAGCTACTGAAGAGTGTTTACCACTTCATTAAACAACCCCAGTTTGCTGTTTTCAAATCTTTGTTTCTTATACATTTTCTGCCACCGTATGTTAAGGTCAAGGTGGCTGGTAAGGTCAGCTGAGGTTGGTTGCCTCAGTTCTTTGCTTTCCTTTGTAATTCACTGCAGGTTAAGAATCCAGACAACCAAGTTCATTGGAATTTCTGTCTAAAAGATAAACGTGCCAGAGAGGCTCAGGCCTTGGCTATGAATTAATATGCACTTTCTGAAAGCTATGAAGCCTGGGAACTGTTTAATTTTTTGTTAAGGTTCGGAACTGTGTTACAGATACTTGGGAGAATTTTAAAATACAAGTAAATATATTCTAATTTAAGGCCTTTCCTATGAATTATGCATGTATGCTTTGAAGTATGAACCTTTGAAATATCTTTGTGTACTGGGCTTCTTTTTTGGAGAGGGTAAGATTCTAACTGTGTTTACACTCTTGAGTTTGCTAGATACATGATCTCTAGATAAATTAGTCTATGTACAGTAAAAAGTATACCAATAAGCCTGTGGCCTACTTTTTTTTCTTTTAAGACAGAGTCTCACTATATCACCCTCAGTAGAGTTCTGTGACATCACAGCTCACAGCAACCACAAACTCCTGGGCTTTAGCAATTCTCTTGCCTCAGCTTCCCAAGTAGCTGGGACTATAGGCGCCTGCCATATCACCCGGCAATTTTTGTTGTTGTTGTTGTTGTAGTTGTCATTGTTGTTTAGCAGGCCCTGGTTTGAACCCACCAGCCCCAGTACAAGTGGCTGGCACCCTAATCACTGAGCAAGGAGTGCCAACCCAGCCTGTGGCCTATTTTAAGGAGGAAAGAGTAACATAATGATAAATGATAATAATTATGATAATTAAAACTATATCATTTTAAAGGTTTCATAAAGTACTGAACTAAATTTGTTTTACATATTGATTTTATTTTATTCAAAATAATATAATGCAGTCGACTGCATATGGAAGTTCTTTACTTACCTGCCAATAAGCATCCCAGTTTTATAATTCGGTTTCAATGGAATTAAACACAAGGAACTTGAAAGTAGTCACAAAAGACAGTTGTAGTCAGGCAGTTTTACTTTGTAAATTTGCGAGTTTTTGGAGGAATTCCAACAACTTCTACATCAGAGTTAGGAGTGTGTATGATAGACAGCCACAAGTCATAAAAATAAGCCGGAAAAGTGCTATTATTAAGGGAATAGCATTAATTTGTGTAATCTTGGCATTAAATTTCTTGACTTCTGAATGTGTAAGTTCTTATCTGTGTGCACTGACAAAATTCTATTTGTTTACTTTTATTTTAATGCTAATAAAACAGATTATAAAGTTATAACCCTCATTTCCTTGTGCACTTACCTCATATTTGCACAATCGGCAAAAGCTCTACAAATTCTTTAAGCATCTGTTCCTTTCACGTCAGCTGTCCACTATTTATTTACTATAAATCTGTCCTAGCTTTACACAGCAGGGGAGGAGACAACTCACATTTTTGCACCTTGAGCATAAGACGGCATCAAAGATGCTGGGGAAGGGTGGGAAAGCAAGGGTGAAGAGCCCCGGGTCAGAATCTTATAACCTAGCTTTGGACACTGTGTTTCCTTGGGTCTTATATTTTCTTGCTTGGTTTTCAAAGAGTTAAATGAGAGAATTTGGGGCGGTGCCTGTGGCTCAAGCAGTGGGGTGCTGGCCCCATATACCGGGGGTGGCCAAAACAGCAATAAATAAATAAATAAATACAATGAGAGAATCTTGCCAAGTAATCCCCAAGATCTCTCTGGCCTTAGGTGATTTTAAATCATAGAGGTCAAAAAAACTTCCAGGCACATTTGTAGAATTCAAAGATACTTGAGCAAAGTTTTTGGAAAGAAGATTGGACCTGGCTCGGCACCTGTGGCTCAAGCGGCTAAGGCGCCAGCCACATACACCTAAGGTGGCGGGTTCGAATCCCCAGCCCGGACCCGCCAAACAACAATGATGGCTGCAACCAAAAAAAAATGGCCAGGCGTTGTGGCAGGCGCCTGTAGTCCCAGCTACTTGGGAGGCTGAGGCAGGAGACTCGCTTGAGCCCAGGAGTTGGAGGTTGCTGTGAGCGTGATGGCACAGCACTCTACCCAGGGGGATAGCTTGAGGCTCCGTCTCAAAAAAAAAAAAAAAAAAGAAGAAGATTGGACCTAAAAATCATTTCCATGAACCATGTTTTATGTGTTTATAGATCCAGGCAATATTTACCATTACAAGATTATCTAGTACCTTGCATAGATGATAAAAATTTGATAAATACTCAATTTTTTTTAGCTCCTCATAGATTCTTTAACTCTTCTATCCATCCTCGGTAAATAGCTTAAACAAGCCCTAAGATCGTCCGCTCTTCCAGCTGATCTATAGAAGGGTGCACACCTAAGTAATTTTTTAAAATATAATAGAACCTCCATAGTTGATCACCTCCCTGCACTGACCAACTCCTTAAGTTGACCTAATTTTCATAGACCAGACACATACCATATGTACCTATCAGTACAGCAGCCCAGTTCCTTAAGTTGACCACCTTCATATGTTGACCAGTTGGTTATAGTCCCTTGGACGGTCAACTTACAGAGGTCCTACTGTAATTCAATATGACAGTTTCTGGACTGCTACCACACTGTATTGAGTTTTCATTTTAGAAAAGATCAGTAGAAATTCATGATCAGTTACTTTTAAAAACTACCAGGTGAAACAAAGAGGTTTATTAATAAGCAGCTTCTTCCTTAGGAACCTTCTAAGAATAGGCTAAGCTCTTCCAGAGGTACCTCAATTGTGTAATGCTATTAAGCTGCATTCACTGTACCGGAGTAGATGCATTAATAAAGGATAACCCAGTAATGAAATAGAAGAAAGTAAGCCATCTACTCTTTTCACCCTTGGGAGACTCCGTCTCGGCAAACACTCTGTGTTGCACAACTTTCTCCTTAAAAGTAAAATGTGATTTTGCAATCACTCTTTGGTTTCCTTCCTCTTTGTGGCTGCTTCTTAATGTCATACCCACAGTAACATTTTCATAAACTAATTCTCTACCAAAAAAATATATTTGGGGGCATCGCCTCCGACAATAATTAATGAAGCATGATGCTATTGAGAAAAATGCTAAAATATATTAAACTCAAATGAGGAGGGCAAGTTGCTACTCTGAATTAACTATTCTACTGCCCAATTCATTATAATTCTTTTGCAACTATATAACTGCTCCTTTTGAATGTTGTAATCAAAATGATGTTCTGAGCATATTACATTTTTGTTTGCATGAAATAAATCTGAATCTGTGTTAACCAAAATAACCTCAAAAGGTTAATATGCGCTAAGTAAGCCTAACACCATTTAAGAAAGATCATTTGTTTAAGAAATTAGAGAAATAGTTATTTTAGAGAAAAACTTGAAGCTTTCCTTATTCATTAGTAACATACTCAAAATTGTTCTAAAAGCTCTTACTTTTTTAAAGACATCTTTCCCCATAGCCTTTCCAAAGAGCTACTGCTAAAATGGTAGTGAAGAAAACATAAAAACTGAAGTTGAATTTTAAATGTTACGCTTTTAAGAAATGTAATCATTGTGACATTATATTTTCTTATAGTGTCAGAAATCTGAAGCGGTCATGAAACAGCTGAAGTCTTTTCAAATAATTGCTCATCTAAAGCGTCTACAGGAAGACATTTATGAAGTAAAAACTTGGTCCAACAGGATAATTGAAAAACAGAATATATTGAAGGGTAATTTGACAACTCTTTCTCAAGACATCACAAAAGTAGACCAAAGTGCAACTTCCATGGCAAAAGATGTTGGCCTTAAGATTACAACTGTAAAAACAGATCTACGACGTATTTCAGGCTTAGCAACGGATGTAACATCATTGACAGATTCTGTTCAAGAACTAGAAAATAAAATAGAAAAAGTAGAAAAAAATACAGTAAAAAACATAGGTTATCTTCTTTCAAGCAGCATTGACCGAACAGCAATGCTCCGGAAAACAGCATCTGAAAATTCACAGAGAATTAACTCTGTTAAGAAGACACTCACGGAGCTCAAGAGTGATTTTGACAAGCACACGGATAGATTCTTAAGCTTAGAAGGTGACAGAGCTAAAGTTCTGAAGACAGTGGCTTTTGCAAATGATCTAAAACCAAAAGTATACAACCTAAAGAAGGACTTCTCCCGTTTGGAACCATTGGTAAATGATCTGACACTACGCATTGGGAGACTGGTTACCGACTTACTAGAAAGAGAGAGAGAAATTGCTTTCTTAAATGAGAAAATATCTAATTTAACAATAGTCCAAGCTGAGATTGAGGATATTAAAGATGAAATAACACACATTTCAGACATAGATTAGTTTGATATTGTTTAGACTGGACTGGAGTCACTTTAAAAAAAAAAGGACCATTTAAATGTGTTTATCAAAAGCCTAGTAAGTCAGAAATAATGATAGTTCAGAGTAAGTGCCATTTTGAATTGGCTCTAGTTTGTATAGTAAAAACAAAATTTTTAAACAGGTTGAATACTCGACTTTCCAAAATAAATACACTAAAATCTATACTTGGAACTTTATATAGCAAGAACGTCATCCACCACCACCTCCAAGATACACGTTTTTATACACACAACACACACACACACACACACACAAGTGGAAAGAAGCAGAGTCTGCCAATCTAGGACTGGGAAATCTAGACAGAGCGGGATCTGAATCTCCACTTGCCTTCACTGGCTGCCAGGGCATAGTGTGTGTGGCTGGGGCCCTAACTGAAGAATTGCCCCATAAGGGGCAAGCCTGTTGCATTTACTACCCAATTAAAGGAGGAGAAACTAGAGAATAGAGTGAGCTGTAGGGAGGAAACAAGGTAAGCCTTTCTGGGTCCTTCATGACTTTAGGAAACGGGAAGAACTGTAGTTGTCTTAGTCTGTTGGGCTTCAGTATGACAAAATGCTAAACTTTGGGTACCCTATAAATAACAGAAAGTTATTTCTCAACTGTTGCAGACTGTGGGAAGTCCAAATCAAGGGGGCTGTTTAGTGTCTTGTGAGGGCCTGCTTCCCAGTTCATAGGGAGCAACTCCTAGCTGCATCTTAGAAGGGCCAAGATAGCTTTCTGGGACCTCTTTTATTATTACCATTTCTTTCAGAGATAGATAGGGTCTCACTTTGTTGCCTAAGCTGAAGTACAGTGGTGCAATCATAGCTTACTGTAACCTCAAACTCCTAGGTTTAAACTATCCTCTCTGGGCTTGGCGCCCATAGCTCAGCAGTTAGGGCACCAGCCATGTGAACCAGGGCTGGTGAGTTTGAACCCGTCCAAGACTGCTAAACAAACAAACAAAAAAATAGCTGGGCCTTGTGTGGTGGGCGCCTATAGTCCCAGCTACTTGGGAGGCTGAGGCATGAGAATCGCTTAAGCCCAGGAGTTTGAGGTTGCTGTGAGCTATGACACCAAGGCACTCTACTGAGAGTGATGTAGTGAGACTATCTCAAAACAAACAAACAAAAAACTCAATCCTCT